ATCTACCTTGCCGGTTCGAGCCCTCTTGGGCCCTTTTTTCGGGCCGCGCGTTAAGACAGGCGTTGCCACTCTTTAGTAATCGTGATTTTGTGGTCACCGTGAAAAATCACGGTCATCTCTAGATCGAATCACGAGTGATTCGAAGATAGCAGTTCTTCTAACCATTACTAATAGACAATGATACGTTCTTCATTTATTGAAACTTTGAAATGGTGTATACAATCTATCATTATTTCTCTTTGCCTATAATACGTGAAACAAGTTCGACAATATAACAAACAGCGTATTATAGTTAGTATATAACAGATTGAGTCAGAGATGAATTTAATCACCGTTTAAGCTTGTGAATAAAACTTGATCACTTTTCCTCTTTCAGTTAACGCGACTCCTATCGTATAACGTTTATTTATAACACACATGTATACGTGTACATAGAATCTCATTGTTTAACATATTATACATATCTTTGCAAGGTACTGCCAGTACAAAATATAAGTACATTCATATTTATAAAAGTACGACGTTCGCTTGCCGCCGACAGACGGAAGAAATAATGTTTCTCTTTAAAACATCCCATAAAACATCGGAGCAAGCGAGGATTTCGATGGAGCACTCTAATTAAAAATACTTCATCGGTCCCTCTACGCTTTTTCTTCATCCTCTATTTTCGCTACTTTTGTTCATCGAAATTCTCCTCGTTTAAATCCCCACGCAAACTATAGTATAAAGCATTTTGAAAAACAGGAATCATCGACTTTTATAACATTATAAAAAGACAATGAAACTCTTAAAATTTAATCGAAAAACTTGCTCACAAGGAAGATCCTATAAACCAGTCTGGTAGAAGCGTTAAACTCTTAATCTTACGTAAATATACATACATATATCGATACACACATCGAGTTCAATTATTGCGTTCCCGATAAATCGTACGTTTCGACGTTTCATACTCGTTTCCTTAGGCATTGCACGCACCGGAGTACAACACTCTTCGAGTCGGATACGAAATGGTTTTGCTTACGAAATAACTAGAGACATTGTTAAAATTTGCTTCAAGCAGAAGTACACGAAATTTCTACTCTTCGAATACCGTACGATTTATCTTAAACTTGACAATGAACTCTCAAGGAATGGTTCACGATTATCATTGACATACACTTCATAAACTGATACTTTGACTTCAACGACGAAAAGGAAAAATGACTCGAAACGATCAGGTGTAGTCACGTCAAAGAACGAGCAATACGACTTTTCGTTAAGTAAGCTTATCTCGTAACCTTAGTGAGTCGGACATATAAGATGGAACGGATTCGAAACCGACCAAGAACAGTCGTAGCCGACCCGACTTAATTCACCGATTCCCGTAGATACAATCGATTTTCTAAAATGCAGTAACGCGACCCGTTACACCGAAGGCTATAATCGAAAGCGCGGGGAAGCGATCCTTTGGCTTCGTTCGCGAGATTACATTTAAATCGTTTGATTAACGCGTGTTCGGGTCTCTTACAATGAAAAACTTAAGCGAACTGATTACATAGAACACTAACGAATTTGTCGACGACGTAATCAGGGGCAGTGGAAGGACTTTTAAGTAGCGGTAATAAGCATCCGCAGGAGACTCGTAACCATGTGTACGTTTATCATAATGCACGTCGACAGAGGAATACAGATATGTTGCGTGCGAATACGTACGATCTACTATATGTCTAGACTTGTTTCTTTTACTCCCTAGAATATTGTTTAACTGCATCGAATACCTGCCAACAGTATCTTTTCTTTTTCTCACAAGCCTCGAGTTCACTCGCTAACGGTTACGCTAATGGAATGTACTCGCTTTAGTCCAATTGGATCGGATTAAGATATATCGTTTCATCGAGCGTGGATCGCGTGCTTCAATTAACCTGCTTCATAGACTTTCTACCGGCGTTAACGTTTTTCGTGCGAGCGTCGAGAACGATGCACTTACGTCTATCCAACATTGTGGCAATTAAAAAATAAAACACGACAGAGACACAGTCACGATGCGACAGGATAAGGAAGGAATTACTCGTTAACGAATCGATTCGATACCGTAGGACAATAGAAACCGGCACGAAATTACAATTCGTTTTCGTATTCTTGCTTCATAATACAGAACAAGCACAATGAATCAGAGCGAAACGTAAGATCGAGTCGATTGTTTCGGCAGCAATCGTAGCGCAATTTTCTTCCCTTCGCGTTTTTAAAGACAGACAAAGAGGTGAGGTAAAACTTTTCCCTATCGCTTCTCTGACCGTGTATTCGTACGTAAGGGCTTCGGTCTTTGTCGGAAGAACGTAATGTAGGAACACCGAGACACTTATCGATTAAAATACAACGATCCTTGCTACACGCGATTGTACAAACAATAACTCTCCGAAACCTCTCCTTACTCTCCCTGGCTAACACGAAAAGTGACGGTAAACATGCTTCAATGGGGCGTATTTTAAATCGTCTCGTTGAAACCGCGTTTATATATAAATGTACTCAAAACTCTTGAAATACGTGTGCGTGAAAGTAGTCGAGGGTACGCGGCAGTCGTCGCGTTGTGTAAGAAAATGTGTACTTACTTGTAGTACGTCAGCTCGAATTACTTCGTAATTGCGATACTTACGCACGCGCCGCTCCACGTTCCGTACACCGAATCACGTACGAGACGTGTAAAAGCGCGCGAAGAGATCCGCGCGTAGGTGAACACGCTGACACACGAGTCGCGTTCTCGCTCCACGAGTGATACTACTCAGAAAATTGCACCGATAATAAGTGAACTCTTGTAACGATAACTCGGTACACGTGTTTCCTCAAGTCGTGACACTTGCGAAGCGATGATGTCTCCGAGTAGCTCCGTTCGCTAACGTTCGACATCAGACGGTCGTCTCGCGGAAGATCTTAACCGACGAGTCCGCGTGTTTGACGTGAACGTATCTCGTGATGGTCGTCGTACCGTTGTTATTGTTGTTGCTGTGGTTGCTGTTATTGTTGTTGAATATCTCGCGACTGCTTAAAGTGGACATCGTACCCGACTCGGACCCCTCGTTCGCCAAGTCTGCAGTCAGGAATCAATCATTGACGAACCGTTACCCAGACCATAGCAGAGCAGACGAAGGTGAGTGTACGCATGAGCGATGTGAGTGTGTCCTCTTAATCTTCTTCGCGAGAGGAGAGTCTATCGAAACGAAACTTGTACCGAGCATTGAACTGAACGACGAGTAGACGCGAGACGAAACTACTTATCGTTAATTTCATTTATTCAGCGAGCTCGGTCACCTCGGTGTCAATTTCGCGTATCTGCTCTGCCACGTGAATGAAAAAATATGTGAAAAATTCACTGCAATGCAACGTGCAAGTAACAATCAACACGTAGTTGCGCAAATCAAAGGAAAACAAATAAAAGAAAAGCGATTTTCGATTGTATTCAAAATAAATTTATATTTACAAATAAGGTGGAGCAGTAACTGCTGATAAAACGTCTTGTGTTAAGCACGATAGGATCGGAGACAAATGCACGATAGATCGTTTGCTGAAATCTGCGACGTTCATTGTTTGTCAAAGTAAATAATAAGTACCTATGAGTCAAATTCGTTCGTCGAAAACAATCGAAATTACGTTTTAAACTTGTTCCTATTGCACAAATCTTGTCTGGCAAGACTCGAATGAGAAGGTAGACATCGTTTCTATACATGTGCAAATTGTTCTACTCGTGTTGACTCGAATCAACGCGTTAATAAAAATGAAGAAGACAAAGCGTAACGTAGCATTAACCGTTGACTAAACATTTAAGTTAACATCTTCTCTCTTTCTCTTTCTCTTTCTCTCTCTCTCTCTCTCTCTCTCTCTCTCTCTCTCTCTCTCTTACATCACTAAAACGAAACTAACTTTGGCAGTCGGGTCCAAGTAACGGACAACGCGCGTGTCGCGTGTGTCACACGCATGCTTAGAATATTCTATGATAGGACACAGTTGATTTGGCAAGGATACGATGCGTACGAAAAGCACACGTTTCTTTCTAATCGATGGAATTCGCGTATAGTTAACACGGAATATAGGTACGGTCGACGGTAAAACTTGAATGTATCGTTTGGGAGAACTACGAGGTAAAGTTCGGGCGAAACGGCGCTCGACACATGCTCAACTGATAAAACTTATCACTGTTCGACTAATAAAATAGGATAGGTCGCCGTGGACTTTTACGAAACCATTACGTATGCATATTGTACTAGTAACACTGCTTAAATACATCGTTAACACATTGTTCGATACTATACACCGACGTAGTCGTATTCCGGTTCGTTAAACTCAATAGAAATGTAACATACCGCTACGTAACAATAATATACTGCTTATTTAACTGCACATCTAAAATATGAAAGTATCTGCGGTCGGGTATACGTGTATGCATATACTCGAAGGAAGAACGATACACGACGACGTTAGAGAGTGCATCATGCACATGCAGAAGACACATCGAAAATAAATATGTATGTAGGTCTTGCGACGTGCATGTATGACAAGAAGATTTAGTGCTACACGCATAGATAGAGCTTAAACGGGATATTTCAAGTGACTAAAGGAATAAACGCTCTCTCCCAGCTCAGTTCGTACGCGTTCGATCGCAAGAGGATCGAGAAGTGACTATACGTAGGGCACAGAGAATGAATAAGGAACGTGTATCCTCTCTCTCTCACATCACGACGCAACAACATTTTTGGCATTTTCTCTTCTTCTCGACGATGTTACTCTTACAACTCGCCGCGAGTCTTTCCGCCTTCGACTTCTTAACATCGTCGTTGGTGTCCTGACTGTGAACGGAGTTGCTCCTCGTGCTTCGTTCCATCTCGTTTTTATCATCACTCGGACTCGTCTTTCTGAATTCATCCTGCTCCAAATCCAACAATTCATACTTCCCCCGAACCTCTGTTCGTTCTAATACTCGAGGAGTCTGTCTCTCTTCGTCCAAGTTTACACGACTACTTTTAATACTAAGCCTAACGCTAACCGTACGTAGCTCCTTGCCCTCGTCGTTAGTCTGTAAAGTGTCTAGAATCTGACTCAAGCGTTTCTCCCTGTCTCGGAGCATTTGTTCCTCCGTAGCTTCTACGCGGGACAAATTTGTACTGTCGTCCTGTTTCTTAAGCTCGATACTCTCCGAGTACGTATTCTCGCTCGTCCTCGTCTCGTTCAGTCTGTTGCTCTCGTCGTCCGATCTCTCCGAGCTGATCGCCTCACCGCTCAGACTCTTGGTCCTCTCGTCTGAGTAGGTGCTCAGCAGTTTCTCCGGACAGTTCACATGCTTGTCGTCGTGCAAGTACACGGAGCTCTCGTTCGACTCGAAGTTGCTCGCGTTTATAATCGATATCCTCGGTATGATCAAATCCGAGGAGATGCCCTCGACCCCGTTCGGCGGCGTCGAGTCTGAGCAGGATCGATTGAAGTCGCCGAACGAGTGATACCCCTGTTGCCCCTTGCCCTGAACCCAAGCCTCGGTCAGCAGATGTGATCTCTGCCAGGACACGTCGCTGTTGCATCTGTTGGTCCTCACGCTCCACTGCTGTTCATCGACCTTCGGCCAAGACTGCAGGTAGCAGTCGCTGGGGCTTCGTTTCATATCGTTCGTTTCCTGATCGTCCTCTTGCTTCTCGCTACGACTGACGATCAGTTCCAGTTTGGATTTCAATAGCGCAGGCGACACGGCCCTGTCGAGCCTTCTGGGGTTCGAGACTTGCGCCGAGTGGACGGACGCGTCATTCGCGTCTACGTCTGGGACGTAGCCCGACGCCGTCATTACGGCGTTTGGACTCGGGCTGTCCATGCTATCCGGAGTGTAGGGATCATGCTTAACGGGTGCTGCGTGCAACAGATTAGCCGCGTAATTGACCCGGCCGCTAACACAACTACTGTAATCAGGCAACATGGACAGCAACTCCACGTAATCGCTCGGCACTCGAAAGCAAAACTCAGGCGCACTCGGCAAGCTGCAGCAGTTAATCATACCTTCGTCCAAGATGAGATTTGCCCTCAAGTAGACTGGCTGGAAACGGGAAAAAATGGACGACCCTTATGTATTATCGTGCATCTCTATGAAGAAATGTAAGGACATTCTTCATATGTAACGGTAGGAGACTCTATAAAAAGTCTAGCTAAACATTAAATAGTGTTCGGTGGGGCGGTGATACATCTTCATGGACATGGTACTGAACGGTGGTTCGTAGGGTTCCATCTATGATTACAGAGAGACTGGCGTTAAACTGTACTTATATCGGTTTGATCGGAATCTCGGTTTATCGTTTCGGTTGAGTTCGAATCGTGTGGGAAATACATGAACGAAGCGACATAAGCGCGCATACCTGCGATGAGAAAATAATATACATTTCGGATGGTAATGAAAGTAGATAGCTAACTAGAATCGTGAGATCGTAAAATCATCGAGAAGGTGAAGAGTTCAGACGTGATTACTACACTGAACCAGCTACATCGACAAGCTTCTATGTAGTCATAAATAGGAGATCGAAATACTAGAAGTAGTAGAGGAACATATGGAAAAACCAAGATAAGAACAGGCAGACAGTTCATAGATAGGTACCTTAGTGCTTAGAGATTCATTCGAAACTCCAGAAAAACAGGCTGCACCATAATAATTAAAAGAATGTATCATCAGAATAAGAACTAGGAAGTGTAAATATATTCACCCAGCATAATAAGTAAAACGAACCAGTACCGTCTCGTTCACGTTAGAAAAGAACGTTGTCTCACCTTGTGGTCGCCCATGCACGTCGTCGGACCGATTATCCCGTACTCCACTGCGCCCGGCGACGATATCTGCAAAAGCGACCGACAATGATTAGACGGTTGATGAAAGAAGGACGTTGGACGAATGATAAAAATAGTTGATTTCGTACATCTTGGACGAGCAATTTAGCGGTAGGGCTCAGCAGTACGCGATCGCACCAAGCCGGTACTCTTGTTTTCATGTAATGCGAGCCTTCGTTGACGTCCTCCTCGAAGGGGTAACTCGGTACAAATTTAATTGGGAATTCAAACAATCGTCCGTCAAAGTCTTCCAGCTCTCTGTCATATTCACGTAGCTACATAAATATTGGTAATTTCATTATGGTCTTCCTAATCGTCAATGCAGCGTTATAAGTGAATTTGTACAATGTGAGTTACGCGCGACCAGCCCACTCACCCATTCTCCACCGTTCTTTATGAAAACGTTCTGATGCTCGCAGTGAGAGAATTCCTTCTTCCCTAACGTTAATATGAGATCATCGTCTTTATTGTGAAACTGCAACTTCGAAATGGCTCCCTTGTTCGATAACCTTCTCTCCTGAGTATCTTCCGTAAGTTTCTGTGGAACAACAAGATTGCCAAGTTCTTTGTCTCGGAACTGCCTAATCTCGCACTTACTTTAATCACACTGGCGGTGTCCATTCTAAAGTTAAAGTCTCCGAATAAAAAGTATGGTACATTCGAATATTTGTCATTGTGAAACCTATCTAACGTATGCTCCAACGCTCTTCTACGCGTTTTACTGTATACGGATGGAAACTGTGAAGAGCAAATGAATCAGTCGCACCTGATAAAATGTTTATAAACGATCGTTGCACGTGCAGTGGTATTTTGTACTTACTGTTTCCATGGCGATAAAATTACTGGCATCATGAAATAAGTGTATGTTTATGAGATCAAAAACTGTTCCGCTAATACTCCATCGTGTCCTCAGAAATCCTTTCCTGGACCACTTGCATTCTGGAAAAAATTCCTGAGGGAACTTGGCTTTCTCTTTGGTCGTCACTGCCTCAATGTTACCAGAATGAACCTCCTTTCCATTCACCGGTATAAAAGTACATTCTGCAATCGGAACAATTAGATAGACACATCTCGATCCACAGATCCGTCACAGAGAATAGATACCTTGGAAGTCCCATAATAAGACATCTTTCAACGATTCGTGCACAAAGTAGAAATTACCAAGTGCCTGAAACGAAACAGCGTAATGTCAGAGCGCTTCTTTGATCAGAAATGGTACATTAGTTGAATTCTGTGCGTAGAATGCGTACCGTGAAATGTTCAGCAGAAGAATAGTCCTCGTCTAAGAATACTCTGATTCTGTCGAACAGCCTCAATTCTTCCGATGACATTAGTAACCTGCGGCAAACGAACAGGCCGTGTTAAATAAAATCCTTCGTGGGAAAGCGTAGGAATCCCCCGGACTAGCTCGAAGATCTGCTACATTATTTTCAAATACGTTTATTTTTTATTACACCGCTCCCTATGAATATCACACGATAAACTCGTCTTTTGAAGTGGCTCACTCAACTGTAGAGCCACGCGTGATCGTCTATTTTTATCCCTTTCAGCCACCTATGCGTTAAATCATCGTATTCAATATGTTGTGATCAGGGAAACCTATTTGTCTTGGTACAGTTTTAAAAAGAATCGCGCGCGCGCACCTACTCTCGTACGTACGCCGCTTTATAAATATTTCATTGGGCGAACGGTAATATCGAAATGGACATTGTTTGTAGCTATTATATTCCATTAATTCGGTTAAACGGCTCAGTGAACGGAAGCCTTTTAAAGAAGGCTTGCTAACAAGATTCTCCGGGGAACCTACATACAGCTTAATCGTTACTGACTCTGCAAAGTATTATTTTACTGAATTACCTAACGAAGTCCTCCACCTGTCTGGTGCTGTGCTCGTAATTCTTTCCACCTACTTCTTGGCAGTGCAGCGCAATAAATTTCGGATCCAGCCTCAGTATAATCTGGAAAGAAAAAGACGTACCCGCCAGTGTAAATAAAACGCAACGAGAGAGAGAGAGAGAGAGAGCTCGCGTTATCTGTAATACTCACAGATAAAAATTCCTCCGCCCAAATTTTCAGCATCACGTTAGGCTGCAAATAGGACACATTTTTTTTAGAAACCGAACGGAATCGACGTAGAAATCACTCGTCGATTTTTATCGAAGACGCTTCGAGGGATCGAACGCGAATCCCGAAACACGCGGAGCGCCAGTGACAAGGCATCTGGTGGCGATCGATTCGATTCGGCCCTATCTGTAATTCGCGCGACCGATACGAGAGATATAGAATAATTATAGAAACTCTAGTACACTCGATAATCTCCGCTGGTTCCGAATACTTTGAATTAACGATCGAAACAGACGTTCTTCGTGTTCGATTAAACTGGTCGTACGACGTATGCCTTTACTCTTCATAGAATACGTCTATTTAATATAGGTAGGGGAGCAGAGAAAAAATAAACGACGAATCTTGAGAAGTAAATTTATTTACATAAGACAACACGATGCTTCGAGTAAAAGATTCGCGACGAGCGGTTCGTGCGCGCAGGATCCGCGGCGAGAGGTAAGCACGGGAAGAAAAACGCGCGGGGATGAATGAACAGCGAGAGTTGGCGTGTGCGAAAGACGCGGCACACACGGGTGAGTTTTGAATCGTGGAAGAAAAAGGAGAGAAGAGAAGAGAAGTAGGTCGCGGTGTCGCGTTCGATGGTAAATCGTGAGGGAGCGAACGACCGATCGATTGTTTCGCTCAGGGTCGTGGCCGGTGGTTAGAAATTGGGAGAAAGGAAAGGAGAGTAGATACCGTGAACGTAAGTGGTGAGCTCACCTCCTCGAAGATGCTGCCGACGTTTGCGGTGACCAATAAAATCGGAACGCCGTTACCCGCCATTCTCTTTCGGTGCGAAATTCGGAAGAGCCCACGAGTCTCGAACGAGAGAAAAACAGCTCCGGCGACGGTCCCGCTGGAATTGGCGGCGACGACGACGTAGAAGAGGTAGAAGGTCGCCGCGGAGAAGGCTGTCACAGAGGAGGATCGGCACGAGAGGCGAGCACACTGCACTGTGTGAAGAGAGAGAGACAGACGGCTAGAGAGAGTTTCCCGTCGACGCGAGCAACCAGCAACGTCGGGTTCGAGTTCGAAGTCACCCCCGGGCAGGAAACGTCCGCGTGTCCGGAGGAATCAACCCCTGCGCCGAGGAGTGGCCACGGTTTCGCGCCGTCCACCGGTCGCATCAAACCTCGCACTGCAAATACACATTATTAATCGAATAACGCGAGGCCCGTTCGCGCACCAGAGAGAAAAGTCGTGTGTGCGGTAAATATATCCCTCTATCGGCCGCAGCGAAACCACGCCTACTGCAGACGTCAATAGGCAGTGCCGTGCACAGAGAAAACGCAAACGCCGACGGTGAACCGAGCCACGTCGGGCCCCGACCGTGTAAAACACTTTTCGAGCCCGTCGCTCGCATACGAAATCGTCGACGATGACCGACCACCACACCCGTCGTTCGGGACCGATCGGCGGCGATTCGATCATTCGACAAATTACGCTCTATTATTGTTCTTTTTCGTTCATCGACGAGAAAACTACGGAACCCGACGAAAGATCTACTACGTAGGATTTCCATCCTATTCCTGTTCTTCACGCGCTTTGGGTATTTCCTGAACCGCCGCGGTTCACCGCATCGTGTTACAGCGCTTCGGAGAAACCGCGTTTACCCTTGGAACCTCGCGAAAAAACTGGTCGGACCCCCCAGTTCCGGTTCTTGATCTCGCGAGTCCCCGCGATCCAGACTGCGCGCGGAGCAACCGGTTTATTCGAATATCTTCTCACGATTTGCAACAGCTTTCTTCGGTTCTACGGATTTATGAGTCGAGGGAACACCTCCGTCAGTCCTCTGTATCTACTACTTCTACTAGATCGTTTGCTTCGAGTTTGCCTTCCTGTAACTGCGACGATTTCGCGGAATCGATAAAGACAGAACGTATAGACAGGTTCGTCTGGTCGCGACGCCTGGCCGTTACATTTATTATTACAGAAAATAAAATAGTTCAACCAGTTGAAAACGATGAACGGCACACGGAAGTTCAGTTGAGATAAGGGTACGCGCGTGAGCGGCACTCTGTGTCCACACCGGAAATCTCTAATTCGATAACACCGCGCGACTGGAAAGAACCCGTGGTGGTCGCCGTGGAACGAGAACCGTGTCAGATATTAGTTCTCGTACCACCGGATGTTATTGAGAAACGTCGAAACGTTAAAAGGATCGACAAACAGAACGTACGCTCCTGAGGATAGTCGTCGGAAACGATGTTCCAGCTGCGCATGAGAAGGGCGAAACGCACGCGCTCTTACGCTCCGTTTACGCTTCTACACCTACACCTTTATTTTTCGTTTCCGTTTCCTCCTTTTTGGCGAACTCGGATCGCGACCCGATTGCACGGCAAACGGTAAATCGAACCGCGATAGTCGCAGCGACGACGCGTTCAACCGCGCCACGGACTGGCATACGAACGTGTGGGCGAGGAAAAGATAAAAGAGGAGACGAGCTTCGGTCAATTATCACACGGTGCGAACCAACAATTATTATCATTCGATACCGAAGTCGGGCGGGGAGAGAGAGAGAGCTGATGTGCGTGCGGATCGTCGTGCTTGCATTCGCGTGAACCTACTCGCCGGTGCGCGTTCGTCCGACTCGCCTCCCGGTAAGCCGATACACAGCGAGACGTAGTAATCGCACGTCTCGTCCCAGAGCACTGCGCATACATTTTCGTCGCGGTGTTCCCGGATGATGAATGAAAGTCCGGCGAGTAAATTGCCTCGGTCGGTGAGAGAAAACAGAATCGATGACGGGCAGTAGACAGCCCGGGTTTGCGCGTGATCACGCCAGACATTGGCGCACAGCGCGTAGGGTTCATCGTACGATTCACGAGTGATAATCGACGGGTGTGTTGGTCGGTTTTCAGATAAAACGATCATGCTACGGCACGTGGTAGCGGCGTTAACGTTAGCGGCCTTCGCCAGCGCCGAGAGCGTCTTAATGACCGAGGTGTTCGTCATTCCGATCAGGCCAGAGACTTTCGACTGGATCAGCGACGGTAAGGAGGAATCCGCGACTGTGTAGATGGACGAACGGTGACACTCGATCACGCGGCTCGCATCGCGTACACGCGGGGGCATACGAAAATAACCGAGCATCGAGGCAGTTTTCGACCGCCACCCGCCAGGCTGAAATTACAAGCGTGGCGTCGCGCGTCACTCGCGGCGCGCCTCGAATAACGATCGATTCACGTGAACCCGCCGAATGTGTCGCGTCGACATCACAGCTGACGCTCGTCACGTGCGTATCGGTGCTTTCTAGCGCGACGTCATACTTAGTCGCCGCCGACACGCGCCAAACATTTTTCACTGACTCCGCCGACACGTGGTTTCCGTCGTAACGAGTAAACGAAAGATCGACGACGTCTCGTCACGATCTCCTAACGATTAATCTATGAAATCATGATGTTTATGCCGGTACGCGATGCCTATTCCTGAATCACTAACCAATTGCCCGTGATTACGCCGGTGGTTCCAGCGCGATCCGATCAATTCTCGTATCAACCCTCGCTGCTGAACGCGCCCGACCTCCCCTCGTGGATCCACTACACGTACAGCAAAAGGGATCACCATGGTTTCCTCTACGGTGTCCCGCCGAAAGACCAGAAATACTTCCAGGTGACGCCGTCCCCCTCGGGATCGCTGAGTAAACGGAGCTTAACCGCAGGACCTATTTCAGCTGGAGATCGTGGGCCTGAACAGACACACCTACGAAACCAGATACAAGGTCCTGGACATGACCGTCCTCGAGAAGGAGAACCTGACAAAGTACGAGGTTCATTTAAAGATCGATAATCTAAACGTGGAGGACATGTTCGACCGCAACAGAACCGAGAAGCTCCTCGATATATTTAGGTTCGTCGATAGACCTCGAAGAGTCGGCCTTGATACGGTTCTCGATACGCGTCCGCCTTACTTTTTATTTACAGAAGGAGGCTGTGGAGAGAAGCGACGGACCTTTACATCACTTTCCTAGCATCCGCAGTCGAGCTCGGTGCTCGACTGCCTCTGAAACCGAGCGAGGGCGAGGGGTGAGTTCCTCCTCTCGAGGAGAATTTCACCTATGCTTCGCCAGCGATAATTTGTTCCTCGAGAAGAGATCGTACAACGGCGTGTCTGCAATTTTTGTATCACGAGTTGTCCGACTCTTTGCGCGAGGGTGCTTCGAGTAGGAGAGACCGCGCGGTATTATGTTAATCGTGACTCGATATCGCTGACGTATTAGTCGTTCGATCGACGGAAAACAACGTCGTGACGCGCGTCCCACGCATCCTCCAATCATTTTTGAAATCGCTAATAATTGCTTCTTACGCGAGGCCCCGCGGATTCGTTGTTCCGGTAACGATAGTAATTAACCGGTCTGACAACGAGTGACACCCACTGACGTCGTTAGAGGCGATCTCGTTCATGGGAACGGCCGACGGGCCCGTCGGATATTTGCATTTTCAATGAATCGTTGCGTAACTCCTTTAAACCACGGCCGGTTTTGTTTACTGTCTCTGTTCATTTCGAGAACTTACCGAAGCGTAAGACGACGGGTTTCACACGATGCGTCGGCACAATTTTTACGTCAAGTCCGAATCGCACAGGTTTCCGTCCTGATTCTCGTTCCTTCGAAGCGGAACTGAGAGAAGGAAGCCACTGGCCATCGTTTAGAGTACAGAGTTAGGTCGTTCCTCCTCCGAGACACTCGACGGTTTCCTGCCGTAGGAGTTCAACGACGGAACCGCGTCGAAGCTTAACAGAAAATTAAACGAACCATCGACGGTCCCTTGGGATCTCTGGGTGCCAAAACCAAAACGGAACGCTTATTCACGATTAAACGAACAGCACGTGCAGCGAGAAGACTGCGAAACGACTTAAAGGTTGTGCAAGGCGTAGACGCGTTTAAATAGGACGGTAACGTAAGTGCGACATTGTCGACGCGCTCGTCCGAGTTAACTGACTGTGAGTGGTTTCCGGTTCGGCTGGCCTGCCGCTCTTCTCTCTGTCTCGTACTCTCAACCTTAGACGTCAGCCGCGTCATAGTCCCCATCGCGCGTTACGGCGATGCACCTCCGGTGAAAGTTGGTCCTTCAGACCACCACGATCTTTTTTATCCGTCGTATTAAGAAGAGTCTATCTTGTAAGATTTAACAAAAATCTAACTGTAAAATGAAGAGGGTGGCGAACGGTTTAAATAAAACACGTGGGCGTAACAAAAATACTTGGTAATCGTCAAATATCGCATTTATTCACAACGTCTCAATACTAGGACGGCTGTACCAAGAGTGCCTCTTTGGCCAGACCTTTCGGTTGTCCTAGGACCTCCCCCATCGCCAGTATGACCTTCATTCTACGTTTTATGGGTCTTTGTCAAGTCGCACACCCTTGAAAGGCCTGTGTCGTTGGACACAGTCACCCCTACTCTTCTACGCGTTTTCGAATTTTCTTACAATCCTTTTTAATTGTAACACGGCACGAAGCAATTGCTGAGAGACGTGGTAAACGCACAAGCGTAACGGGAACAGACCGTGTAGCGCAACACGTGTAGATTCGCTATTCGAAAAATGCAGGGAATGCAGCGTGAGTCACGAGCAGATAATCGATTGATTAGGTGTACCGCGAGCCTCGCGTTAGACCGCAGATGGATAATTGTATCAGCGGAGAATTCAATGTCCAAGCGCGGAAAGATAAGAAGCGAGATTTCTACATAAAAATTCTATCGATCTATTAAACATCCGACGAAACGTTGTAGTAATACCGATTACGGTGTTTACGGCAACGTACGACGAAGTGGGTCGATAGAACATGAGACTTTCGAGGGAATCCTACACCGCGATGACGCATTCGATAGCTATTGAAGAAGAGTCTGATGATTCGTTTCACCGCGAATGAATGACACTCAGTCTTTCCGTTTAATTGACGGTGAGTAAGTTCCCGGTTCCCCCCTCGAACGCGTAGCGAACGGTATGACTAGATTTCGGATTTCTGTCTAATTACCGCGAGAAATGCGTCGCGTTGCAATGACTCGCTTCGTCGTTCGAATGGAAATTACGTTTCGCTCGGGACTTTCGACCGAGATAACGGGAAGTGTGATACACGCGGACAGGAAAGTCGTGACGCAACTTGTGAGAACGTTCGAGTCGACGTGCCGCGAGACACGTAGCCACGGAGGTGTTTACCTGCACAGGTTCAGGGAAACGTTGTTCGGCTAGAAGAGCGTGCAGGATGTAAATCCCGCGGATGCGTGACACGAATCGCTATTCACGATGTTGTTTCTCCTCGCGGACAGAGTCGTGATAAGGCTGGGGAGTTCGGCGCCGTTCTCGCAAGAATTGAACGAGCTTCAGGAAGAGGTGAAGCCGTTGTGGAAGCTGAAGTCGTGTCCCAGAGACTTCAAGCGCACCAGCGTCGAGAGGCTCTTCAGGGAAGCGGAGTTCACCTTGGATTGGTGCTCCTTCAGACTGGTCAGTGGCTTCGCCATCCACGAATTCGAACGAAATCAGTTCTAATGTAATTTCGTCGATCGAAAGGGTCAAAGATTGAGGGTGACTCGTCGTGTTTCATAGATGGAACAGGAGCAGCAAGGTCTGCAGCACGAGAGCGCGAGGCGAGGGCCGAGCATGAACGTGTTCGGTTTACCAGCGTCGGAGATCTCGGAGCACACGGAGTGGCGTTGGGCCAGGTCGACGAAGGCCAGCATTCCCACCCGGAGTTATTTCAAGGAAATCGTCACGACGATCTTCGTCCCGACGAGCCTGCTTCTCGCGCTGGCCGCATTGCTGAGCACCGTGTTGTGTTTGAATCACGAGAAAATGTAAGTGTCGCCTGAGTCTAGTACAAACGCCTCGTGTCGTATCGAGGAATCGGGGGGCGGTCGCGGGCTTCGTTCGCAGGAGGACGGTGTCGTCCGTGCGTCGGAGAACGTCGACCGAAAATATTTGTCATTCTATTCTGCACGAGGCACGTGCTCGAGAAATGAATTCCTTCGTGTAGCCGTGCAACCGACGAGCCAGTGTGGTAGGGGCAGAGAGCAGCAGGATAGAGGGGGATACTACTACGACTGGTTTCATTCATGAACAGCCACGATATCTGGTCAAGTACATAGAGTGACGTGACGGACGGTGCGATCGAAAATACGATCGTGCCCGATAACCGCGTTACGTAGGTTAAATTCGTCGATATCTCTCCCCGATGCTAATTGAAATTGTTATCGCACCATCGTCACGACCGCTTCCGTCCGGCATTTACGTGTACGAGGGCGCGGGAATATTTTTCCCAGTAGACGAACGTTTCTGCGTAAAGAACATAAATAAATGAGCAATTTTTCCTTCGAGCGTGCACGTGTACGCTACTTATGGGTATAAATAGAAAGAGGATCATCGGTACATCGCGACCCGTGGCATACGTCGATTAACGTACAGTTCACTTATCGTCCAAGTATACCAATGGCGCGTATCGTCGTCGCTCCGGAGTCACCGACTAATTGGCATACGAGCCACGGAACTGGCCCGAACGACGAGAACGCGACGACCCGAGAATCACAACACTTCGATTTGAAATTCTAAGCTCACGTTTCGTCGATTGATAGAGGAATTCGATTACAACGTTACATTCTTAATCTCGACGAGAATGTTTTGTACGCGAGATCCACCGAAACCTCGGTTCACTGAATTTGCTGCGAGCGAGGTACATGGGTAAGTGACCGTCCGAGATCGTTCCTTATACGAATAGCCCGAAGCTACGAAATTGCTCGTTAAGTCGCCTTCTATCGATCAGGAAATCGTTGACTCGATTGTCGCTAATTAGTCGCGTGTCGAGCGGTGTCGTTTAACGACGCGCCGATAACGCTATCCATTCGTAATTGGCCGTGTTAACAGGCGAAATGTAACGTCATAAAGACACGAACTGACAGTGACTATTTATAGCCGGGTAAACTTGATGATCGCGTCATCGATTATTCGTGTTTCTTCCCGCGACTCTATTGCATTACACCTATGACCTTTTCACTGTTCAGCTTTCATACGGGGATACGTACACGCGTACGTATGCATAAGCGTACTCTCGATCCAAGCTTTTGCGAACAAGTACATAGATATAAAAATCATTGGCCAACCGCTCGTGAGACGGACGATCTGTAAATCGTTTACAATAGTCACTCCGGTCGTTTCGTCGAAGAAGGAGTCGTTACGTTCACGGAATCGGCTGCGATGTAGCCAGTAAACGCAGCTGCTTTTCTCGGAAACCTAATACCGGTACTTTTCCTATGAATCGTGAAACACGGAACTCGGGATTTACGTTCCTACCTGGATATCCGCGTAGACTGTCTCGGATGTCTGCTCGGTTCATGCCGACGTACAGAAATATTTATCTCTCGAGTACGCGGTCGCTCGAAATTGAAACAGGGAAAAGGAAACATCGTCGTCGGCCAGATTCGAACGTCATGCATTCGCAGCGATACGTTAATCGCGCCTGATTGCAACACCGATCGGCTGTTGAGCGGCGCGTTCAGTTTCAAGGGTGATCTACGCATGCGATCAAGGTAATCGCCATTGGTTTACAGATAATGCGGGTTACGCGAAAACAGGAACGTCATTCCCGATATGACTCACGAAAAAAATGTAACGGCGATGCAAATGATTTATTGGAACTGCTGGGCTGCCGCGCACCACTTAAAATCAAGAGAAACAGATCAATTTATCTTTTTCCGCAGGAACGATCCCGAGTCCGAAGAGTATTTCTACGAGTTATTTAATATGTTTCTCGGGCAGAGAAGAACCAGGTACATCACGATTTCAGGATGCGAAGTTAAATGCTTGTTACTCACCGGGTGTTGCGAACATGATCAGATGCTAACAATGTTGTGACCTAGCATTAAACGCTTGCCTAGATCTGACGTAAAAATGCATCGAATCGAATGTGTTTTTTCGTTTGGCTCTTAGTGAGAAAAGGGAGACGTCGATGGGAGAAGGAGTCAGCAAGAATAATATCCAGATGGTTCAGTACGCTGCTATCGAAAAGGGGACTTTGAAATCGCTCTCGGCTCAGCCTTCTAGTCCGAACGATTCTTTGCTACGAAGTCCCGGGACGTCGAACGAACGTTGCAATCCGTACATTCGACCCAACCCACCGCCGTACATGGGACAGACTAATCTGTACGTATGTTCATCTCTAGTCTTACCATCGAGCTATTACTCTCGATTAAAAGTGTGAAAGACTGTTCCATCTTCAGAGGCGGTATTCGAGCGGATTTCTGACTACACGAGGAGCCAGAGAAAACGTGGTTTTGCTGAGAACGATATCGAAACTGTCAAAGATAATCGCAAAATCATCGGAACTGGCTCCGATAGCATTTCGTACGCACCTTTAATTACAACGCTTCCGCTGCTACTTAATTATATACATATCTTCTATTAAATTATACATGTAAATTATACGTAGTTTATTTAATAAATGAATCGTTGGACTCTTTTATTCACGTAGAGCTCCATCTATCGCTAATCCCTTTCCTATTTATCAAATACGACAATAGATATTTATAGGAGAAGATTATCCGAGGTGCAGAATCTGTTCAGAGATTTTTCTCAGAAAGTTCAATTTATCACTACTAGAGGAAGCGACTCGTCAATTTCCATATCGGGAATCATCTGAGAAAAGTTCTGCTGTGTAAACTACTGTATATGATTAGCTATCATTTGTCGCGTAAGTTGATTGACGTAAAAATGCGAAAGAATTCCGTTTCGCGCTTGAGGAATTTGAAATAGACGCGACGCGAATGCCTTGACATTTCCTCCGGGACCTAGCCTAATCAGTGCGCGCGTGCGCTACGCGGAGTCATGCCTGCACGATAATTTTTTAACCGTCGGCTCTGTCAAGAACCCTTCAATGTGTACCAGGGCAGAAGTTTTTGACAGCTAATCTCCGTGCAGTAAGATTAAACGGCGAGCAAAATCACTGTGCGCGGATCATTACCGTTCTCGGAACAATGGCTGGCATCGTATCACTGTCTGGCAGATCTGGTAGAAAACAATGGACACTACACGGTAACTCAGCAATTTCACGTTCGGCCTTCCCGTTCTCGTTTCATTCCGCGATTCGCTGAATTCGCGTCCCGATTTAATTGAAATTACTATGTTAACTTCATGATCGCGTCGAATCTCCGACGATTCGTCGAGTTCTCGCGGGAGACTGACAATCGGCACTTTGATCTTTCACCAAAACAAATATTAAACAGTTGACAAATTCGGCGTAATTAATGATTAACAATACGCGAAACGGTGACGGAACGTTGAACTGAACAAAACACGATTCTGTTACGAATACCAATATGGGTCCTGTCTGGATATGATTGAGAAATGGAGTGTTTTGAATTTGGAATTTTAGAAGGACCAAGAGGATCCCTCAGAAGATTAAGGTCCCAACTGGCCGAGGACGGCTGTCCGGAGTCTCAAGTGGTCTTAGCCAAGAGACTACTGGAAGAGAGGTGTGACTTAGATGTTGACAAAGAGGAGAATGCGAAATTGGGTGTGTACTGGTTGACGAAGGCTTCGGAGCAAGGAAATTTGGAGGCAACGGATATCCTCAGGAAATGCTTAGCCACCGGCCGTGGTATCACTGAACACAATTATTACGACGTGAAAAGTTGTCTGGACATGACTCAGGATGAGAAACTGGCTAGGAGAGCGGCCAGAGAAATGTTCAGCAGTCTGTCGAATGGGGAAGACTTCATCACGACGGAACAACTAGAGAGACGTATGAGGGATATAGCTTCGAGTTCGTCTAACGCTGGTTGTTCCCGTTCTAACAATGTGTTACACGATAACACGCAAGAAGACGTAGACAACTTCCCGAGAAATGGGCTTCCCGGAGACGGTGCAGCTAAGGGGGACGACAAGGAAAGCGATGGCCACCACGGTGAGGAATTTGAAACGCGCAATAGTTCGCGTTCGAGAAGCGTTTGTTCACGGTGTTCCTCTTCAGGTTGGACGAACCGTCAGGGAGAGAAGATCACGGAAGCGGCTCTTGTCTCAGCCGCCTCTAGTTACGCACGCGGTATGCTTCCAATAGTTTCACACGCTCTGTGCATGGTCGATCCATCCCAGTTGGCGTTAGACACCATACCGTTGCTGCAAAGGCCTTTCTTTCATCCCCTCGCGTCGTTAAAACGCTTGTACATTTGGCTAATAGAAACAATAGGTCAAAGGGGGACGTCGATTAGAAAGATACTTTTCACATCGAACCTGCACATACTGTTACTTCTTCTACTGTACGCGTTGCTCGGCACAGAGAGCCTAATACTCTTTTTCCCGATGGCACTGTATTATTTATCCTTCATCGTCATGGTCGTCGCTACTTTTCAACTGCTACAACGAAAACGTGAGTTCAATAATTTCCGCGTGTGGTCCGGTCTGTTCCTCAATTATTCCGGCGGCAATTTAAATCCCGAGGAAGCGGAGTTCCAATATTACTATAACAATCTCAAGCCTTACGGCCACTTTTTCCTTGCCTTCCTTCTAAATCTGATGATCTATCCGGTGATAGCTCATCAGTGGACGCCTCAGTCTGAGTTTACTATCATAGCGGTTGCGCTCACGTTGATAACGCTGTTGAACTTCATGTGGAAGGACTCGTCCAAAGTTCCGGACCTCCTGGCCCTCTTTAGTTTCGGTGTCCACGTTCTAGCGAAATATCCATACGAGACAGACATCGTAGTCGCCCAGGGGTGGAGATTCTTAGATATAAGAGTCCCGACGTTCGCCTCGTACGTCGTCGGCAACGGCATCGAGTTCTGCTTGAACTTTCGCGTAGTCTTTTTCCTCTTGATACCAGCGGTTTTCGTTAAAATGGCAGCCCGGGATAACTGGCGAGGGACTTATAAAACTTTGATCGCGCACTGCGTTACGCTGAGCTGGTGGCAAATAGCGATATTCAGTTCCCAAGGCGCGACTTGGTACGGCTTGATCAGAGGCGCTCTAGCGTTAGTTGGCATGGTCCTCTTTCTACCTCTCGCCGGATTAGCGTCTATCGTTCTACCGATCGTGGCTGCCACCAAGTACTTGTCGGAGAGCGACCTGGCTATGAGGATAGCTGTAACGATGTTACTCGGTGGAATGCCGTTTCTCGCATCTTGGTACTTACGGAAATCTCGGATTCCTAAGTTCAACTGGATTATCACCGTCGTCCAGGTAAACGAATACCGACGCGTACCGGTCGCTGTTCTTACGCGAACCTAAATGCTGTTTTATACGTGTGTCTTAGTTGATCATGGGAATCGGTGCTGGGATGTTCTTATCGTGGCCGATGATAATGGAATACAAACGGGTATCGGACACGTACGACAGTGTCTCGACTCTTTCATGGGAACAATATCAGAACCATTGTCACCAACCGGCGTGGGAAGAGCTGTCATCGAAGGCACAGGTACAAGTTCAGTGCGCTGATCTAGAGGGGATATCGGTTTCGTGGGAAGGATACGTGACTAATGTTAGATTAAGATCGATAAAGAATAACATTGCCACGGTGCTTAACAAGCTACCTGATACTATCAGAAACATAATTAGTTGTATGTACGGTGAACCGTATTTGAACAATTGCGTTTCGAGCGACGAGTCGAGGCAGAAGAATTGCAAACATTTCGCGAGCGTTCAAAAACGACGTAACAAGTGCCACTTCCCAGCGTGGAATCAATACGAATTCGAGATCGCGGTGAAAATGAAAAGTGGCATGTGGGGAAACAACGCGGAAGTCACACTGATAGCTGACCATTCACTGGCGAATTTCAGTTTGAACATATACCCCGGTGACAAAATTTGGTTCTCCGGTACGCTGCTTAACGACGGCTTGAACGGCGAGTCGTTGCTCGGTGGTTCGGATCCTCACGTCGAATTGGAAGAGGTCGGCTGCCTCGCTTGTCACTCGACCACCTTAAAATCGTATAAACGTTACAAGTATCACTTGACATTTAGCTCGATTTTAAGCGATCTTTGCCTAGGCGTAAAAACTGTATTGAACTTGCTGTTGAACCCGATCGTAATGTTTAAATAGTAAACGCACGGTTTCTCGCACGTTCAGATAAAGTTGTTTGCAGCGAGATAAATTTCGTTAGCGCGTATCTTGAACTCATTTCCAAACTACGAGCGTGGAAGACTCGGTAACAGAGAATAAGTGAATTTATAGCTTTCATATGCAGTATTTCCCTCGAAAGGAATCATCAGCGTTTAGTTGTAGAAAGAAGAATAGTGGTTTAGTTTTTTTTTTTTACTATTAAATTCGAAGCTACGGTTCACGCGGTAATAATAGATTTTTAAACGTATGTTTTGTAACTACACTCTCTGTCGATAGGTAAAAGAAAAAATTATTTTTACGTTATCCTCCCCGCCGCACCTCAGACACTTTGAACTTCATTAACGATTCATCGAGTGTCCAAATTGAAAGATACACTTATACACATATTTTAAGATTGACATATTTTCATAAGTATTACTGCCAGTAATAGAGATAAATGCGCTTAATATTTTTCTATTCCGTTTACGGAAAATCGATGGAGGACCTTTTCGATTTTACTTTGACTCGTTAGTAAAACACTACATTATTTTCCTTTTTAGTGCTAAACACTAATGAAAAATGTCATTCGCATCTGTCTAATCAGTTACACTGACATTCGATTAGGATTGTACGTACGATACAACGAACACGACGCGTAAACATGTATGTACCTACGTTATTCATATCTCGTTTCATAGAGAATCTACTCAAAGTTTAGAATCTACGAAACTTCGCGATATTTCGAAATTAATTTAGTCATTAAATCTCTCTACGCATAAATGTCACGTGAATACTGTGTGTACTAATCGAAGAGATAGCGAAGTAACGTGCACGTGTGTGTACGAACGCGTAGGAGTTAAAAAGAGGTGCTGCGTTGAATCGGTGTTAAGTGTTTAGAATTTAAAAAGATAAACGATTAGAAAAAAAGAATTATAACTGTCTAGGAAAGGCGACAGTAACCCTGTATATCATATCAGGACAATAGTAAAAAGATATATATATATATATACACACATAGCGGACACAAAAGACAAATATAGATGTGCCTTGATGTTTCTCTGTTCAAAGAAATATTATTATTTATAATAAAAAATATATATATATATATATATATATTTTAAGAAGTAAACGTTACTCTTTACATATTTCGTTCGAATACACAACTCGAGACATTCACGAGGAATATATTTTTATATTAATTTTTTTAAACATAGAATTCTTTATGTTTTCTTTTTACGATGGCTTTTTTGTTTGTTTTTTTTACACCGTTTAATACATATTTATTTTACATTTGGCAACAAATTACGTACATCATTCTCACAAATACGGTGACACTGTGTTTTTTCAACAATTGTTTATTTCGAAATTTTGGTTCCCTTTCATGGTTTGTATAAAAACGAGTTGTACAGTACGAAATCACTCAACAACCATAATATTTATACCGTTCAGTTTGTTCATGTACAAATATAAAAACTATACGAATGAAGTCTTTCGAATCATGCCGAATGTGAGGATAAGTCAGAGTGAGAGGAGAACGCGTGTTCGACGTTACGCGTACCTGTTACACTCTTCCCTCATCCGATGCGTTTAGAATCAATTTTTTCACGTTCAAGCTGGATATGTAACAAATTAGCATCTCCTTGCTAGTATAAAATTACGTTCACTCGAAGCGTAACGTCGGTGTATGTATGTGTAAATCCTTATGCAAGTAATTCAATTAATTGCTATGTATAAGATTCGCTGCGACAACTTAACTTTGGTAAAGGAACTCTGTAATCGTTCGCGAGCATGTATTTAAAACTAGTATAGAGCAGATAGCGAAAAATTACCTGACTGTCACGATAATTGTATACAAGTTATTACGTTTCGTTCCTCGTAAAGTGTCACTCAGAACTGGAAATAATGGCTGTTCATCGTTATTGTATTAACACCGAAAGAAACAGTCTTATGAACACTTGACCACCAAGACTTATTTTCTATGTTGAAAAGAAAAGAAAACTCCTCCGATTGGAAACGAGAAATTCAAGAGCAGAATAGTTTGTAGCACACTGTGATTTAATAAAGACGTTTCCTACTGTTCTCTTGACGTTTTTGGTACCACATAATGCCTATCACCACGCAGGCGATCAATGCGAGCGCGCCCGCGAGCATCAAAAGGAAAAACATTACTCTACTCAACGTCGACTGTTTCGGATCGTCTACGTGTTCTGTAAAAGTAAAAGAAGAACCATACAATCCACTGATGCGCCACACCAGACACGTTCGTCGTTCGTTACGTTACCTCGGGGTGCATCGAAGTATGCGGCCGACGGCAAAATGTTTGATCTATCTTCTTGATCTCTAGGCTGAAACCCAAAGCGCGGCGCGTTATCGTGACGGCACGTAACCGAAATGGTATTTATCATTGCCTTTTTAGACGCTACTCACATCATTCGGTAAATCTAATTCAAACAAACGGATAGATAGTATATCGTGGTTATCGGATAGATCTCCCGTGGTTGCGGTAAGTCCGAAATAGTAACCTGTGGGAAGTTTTATGTCTTTTACGGAAAAACATTCCGTCCACGCAGCTTTATTCGCAAAATCTGTGGAAACTGTGCGGGGGCACAAAAAGAAATGATCAGCAGAATTTTCTTCCGCGGACACTTGTTGATCATGCTCAACAGCAACATCTCTCATTCGTATGGCCACTCACCAGTTAGAGTATCCCTTTCGTATCTGACACTAATATGCGTATCATGATCCAAGTTTCTAAAGTTCGATCCACAGCCGGCGATTTGTGTATGAGTTCCGTCACGATCATGATCGTAATGCAAGGAACCGTTATTGACCATAGCGGAAATGTACGGATGTTGGTGCTACAAAGTCGAAAGTACTGGTCACGGGAGAAGATTTGCCTTTTGTCAAGAGTATAATTCCATGATTTACGTACGTTATGAGGGCCGTTGTGATTGCTATATGTATCCAAGATTATGGCCAGTCCTTGGAAATAGTCTTGGTTTCCGAATACAGGCCCTATTTTCAATCTCTCTTTCGCATACCAAATGGCAAACCCATCGCCAAACAAATCTTTGCCCTTCCCATGGACTTTAAAGTGAACTTGTAATTCCCAATTTCTCACGTAACATGGCTAGAGGAAAGCGTTTCTATTCAGTTTCAATTCCATCGACTTATTCTAACTTCAAAACAGCTGTGAAACTTACAACGGAATTCCATATGGCACCTTGTTTACTTTGTTGGTCTGGCGTTAATCTAATATAATTATTCGTTACCATTGTACTACCCATAAAATCCCAATAAGGTATTGTCATTCCAGACCCTAAATCGATAAAAAATGTATCACTTATTAATAGTCCGAGCTTGTTAACGTCATAACGTGATATTCATTCCTTTGTTACATTCGGATTCATTGTTTAACAATGAAAAAATACGGATGATTCATTTGAAATCAAGCGAACAAAATTCGCAACGATTGCGACGTGGAAGTATTTTTACTAGAGTACGGAACGGAGTGTTGTCTAATTTCAATTGCAAAAATATGCAGACTATGTAAAATTGTAGACTATGTAAAATTCACAAACCTTGATACGGTCTGATCAAAGAATGTTCTCGTTTCATATAGTCCTTTGTATTCCATTCTGCTACTACTAATTCTAACACACTTATAATTAATATCAAGCACGATATCACATTCATTTTATACATTTGTCATACGAATGTCGCGATAGAACTCTGTAAACTAAATATTAGGTTGTACTGTACAATGATTACGACGCGTAATCCGTAGGATCAACTGCCGGAATCATCATCGTCTGTTTCCTATTGTCTCTGACTTTCCGAAATTAGTCGTTTAATCAACAGAGCCAACATTCGAATCCGAAATGTCCCTAGAAGACGATTCTAGATATATTTACGCAACCAATGCTCCCGCGCGAGAAAGCATGCGCGTTGTGCGAGAATAGTAACCATACGTTCACTTCAGAGAAATGGACGTGCATAGGTTATTCTGATTTCTGACGTTTTCTAAAGAAACAGGGACTGAAGATGAAGCCGAAGGTTTCAGGAACGGCCTTTTAATTAAATCGAGTCGCTTCGTATTCTTGTTCGAGGTAAACGTTCTTTCTCGGGACCGTTTCACGCGACGACCATTTTTTTCAAATCGCCTGTTGGTTGGGGAAAGCATGGATCGACAGGAATTCTGTGCGACGCGGTAACGATAGCAGCGCCCCGTTGCATTCGTGTCCGTTCGCGTTATTCGTCAACGGAATTTACAGGCTACGGGGGAGAGAATAAAGTATACCGGGTACGCGAGACGCGGGTGTGTGTAACGTAGGTGCGGGCATCGTACGACGTTGACATTTTTCCGTGATACGCGCGTCTCCGCCGAAACCGGTTACGTAAAACTCTTAATTGCATTAGAAAGCTCGTAGTCGGCGACTCGGAAACCGACGATAAATTCGTATACTTTCGAAGTGATCTGCGAGCGTACGTCTACGACGGGATCGACTACCGGAGATCGAGCGGCAAGATTTTACATGGCGTCCTGTGCGATTCCTCCGCTACGCTGAGTCTCTTGCGGTTCGGTTTTCGAAAAGCTTGCGGGGTGGTCGAGGGAAGCGCGAGACCGAAATAGAGAGAAAGAAAGAAGAGAGCGATCGAACGTATACGTGCATCTGTAGGTAAAGGCGGAGAGCGAGGTAGAGATAGATTACACGAACTTCCGTAACTGAACGTCTCGCGGGGGCTCGTATACGTTTACGCGGGGTCGAGTACAGCTGAAAAAAAGGGCGTGGACAGATATTAAACGAGCTAAATAGTCTGAACCGTAAGCGTACGCTAAAGACACAATGGGTAAGACGCCAAAGAAGGCGGCCCCTGGGGGCGATGAGAGGAATTTGTACAATCGGAGGCTCAAGGCAACGACCGCGCCGTCGAATTCTTCTGAAACTAGCTTGCACAAGAGACAACGCGAGTACGAGATTTTGAACAGGTTTGTAAAACAAACTAGCCCAACGAAAGGCAAGTTCATCCAGAGTTTCTCGGTTCGATCTATCCGTTCCTATCGATTCCTCCTTGCGATCGTGATCGTGCAAACGGTACACAAAACAAACAACACCACCACTACCACCACCGAGCTTCTTTCATTTTTGTCGTTTTACACGCGTCGCTGAATGCCGCGTATCTTTCTTTCACGCTACGTACTTACGCGCTCTTTTTTTTATTTACAATCACCGAGGATAAATCGGGCCAAATGTCATTCAGTCTTGGCGGCGACAAATAGACACCGACGCTTCGTATCCATTCTCCGGAGACCTTTTTCGACGATCAATCTCTCACGAATGGTTTAGGAGGAATGGGCTGATGACAAAGAATAGTTTGGTGTTTGTCGAACGATCATACGCAGATGAGAAACTTTGGTTCAGCTGCTTTGTTAAATTTTATGTAAATTAGCACCTCTCATCACCTCCAAAATTTCTTACTCCGTGTAAATCGGCCGTAGATGTATACGCGTAATCTATTTCTAATTGGTTGAACGTTCGATATTTTCCTTTCAGACTTAAACTGAACGTGTTAAAGAAAATACCACCTGGACAGTGCAAAAATATCGATGAAGTAAGTTTTGTCCCTTCTTCGTGCTAGCCTTAAGTATAAATTGTTCGACAGAAGAACAGTATATATGTTTGTCATGTCACAGGTGAGACTTCGTGGGACTTCGTCAAAATTGCCTGTTAAAAAACTCGGTAGGCCGCCAACGAGCTCCAAGCAAAAGAAATCATCTCTTCCGGACAAAGGTGAAGAGACGACATCCAAAAGCATGCAGCCGGAATCAGAGGAAACGGAAGTCAAACTTGATTCACGAAAGGAGGATACTAAGAAGGAGAATGAAGTTAAAAATAACGAGGCCCCCGGGAAGGAGGAGATCGATGGTACTCCTTCGGAACCTGTCTTGAACTCCATAGGAGAGGAAGGTTCGTTGAATAAAGGGACAGTGATGGAAGAAAGAACCGAGTCTCAGGAAAATGCAACGTACGCGAAGCAAATGCATTCCAATAAAGACCAAGATACGGAGGAATGCGCAGATGACGTGAGCTTACGCTTTGAGCCTGAAGAAAATGTCTCGAACTTGAACTCGAACGAGGAGAAAGTTAACGAGAACAAAGATCTGAGAGAAGAGGGTAGCGAGATGAGTGTGTCCACGGCGGCAACGGAAGTAACGAAAGATGGCGGGAACGAGAAAGAAGAAGTACCGAGCGAGTCTCCGACCGATACGGAGAGCTATTCCGCGGAAGTCATGGAAATCACAACGTCGGAAGTGTCCGAGGCCTCGGAAACCGCTTCGCAGAACGACGTTTCGAAGGAGAAGGAGAAATGCGAACAGAGCCTTAACAAGGATCTCTCGTCCGTATCGTACGATCCTTCGATAATGCTGAAGGACGTGCAGATCAAGCTGAACGATTGTCTGAAGGAGAATACGAAAGTGGTCGACACGAGTACTTCGAGCGTCCCGAGTACTCCGAGCCAACTAAAGGACGCTTCTTTCGGGAAGACTCTGAGGAATATTTCTGGGAGGCGTTCTCTGACCAGAATGCGTCACGTCACGGTACGCGACCGTAGGTACTCGCCGAGCGATTCGATGTTCGTCAACACGTCCAGTGCGTCGCTGGCCCCGGAGGAGACGTCGGATTTCAAGATCATGCGCTACCACCACACCGCTCTGGACCTGAGCACGAACGGTAGCCCGGCCGAGAGGAAACGGAAGCTCGAGCTCGAGGAATGGTCCGCTAGCACGAAGAAACCGAAAACGGAGCCAGAGTATAGCTTGCTGAACAGCTCGATCACTTTACTGAAAGGATTTCGCAGGCCCATACAAGTATCTACTCCGGTCTCGGAGCTGAAGTTCCAATCTGGTAAACTGGAACTGAGCGACGAGAGCAAGTCGTCGAACGACGGCAAGAAATGGTGCGCGATCATGTAAATTGACCGATTCGAGTCGCGTTGTCGTGATACATGAAAGAAGAATTTTATATATTTTTGCACGCTAGAATGTGGTTAGTGCCATGCCACGCATTTGGATAAATAATTCATTTTGTCGTATTCACGTAAAAACGAATTTCTCTTTCGTTTCTGTATCGATTATTTTCATCTTTTTTTTCTTTCTTGTTGCACCAAGAGAAGACGTATATGGCACTTCATTCTTCCTAGAATGTTTCCTCTACTCGTACATACGACGTATCATGCGATTATTGACAGAGGCTCATAAAAAGACATCGTTTGTTCTCAATGTTTGAACTTTTAGATCTTGATCTTCGTGTACAGGGATCCGCGGTACATTGGACCTAGGTCTTTCTCCAAGGTAATCAAGAAGCTAAACTTCACCGTTGAAAAAAATGAAACTTAATAAAACTCCTTCTTTCACTTCTGTTCGATATTTACCATTTCCAAGGAAGACTGGTCCGACGTACCGCGCGTAACTACCTGTACATACTATGTATATTGTGCATTATGTCTTAGATTCGTCATTAGCGGTCGAGTATATATTTTATACGACCAACAAAGTGTAATTATAGAAACGTGTAACGATAAAAAGTCCCCTTTTTCTCGGTCATTCGATGTAGCTACTCCACGGGAAATCGACTTATCGTTAGTATTTACCGGGACGATCTATTTTTCAAACACTCAACAATATTTCTCGCGTGCAACTTACTCTGAATCTCGATTGTGTAGATACGCTGTTCGCGTCTTTATTAATTATCAACGTATTATTAATTGTATTACTGCTTTTTTGTCTCTTCGTTCGTGTCGAATTTTAACGAAAATTGTTTTACTTTTGACATTTAATATGGATTCAATTTTTTTTTATTCTTCGTAGACGTTAAGAGTACTGGTTTCGGCATACAAGAGGTAATTGTTCGACAAAGGGTATACGTTTACCCTACGCGTCTTTGTTTGCCGAGACGATTCTAGAGCTTACCTATTTTTCATCGCGAGTTTTAAACTCCAGCGAAAGATTCGGCAGACTCGATGACAATTTTACGTATTTTTATTAAATCGTTACGCCACTAGCTTGCATTTTACACGGGGAGTCTCGAAGTCGAGTACGATTTTCTTTTTTTCAGATTCTTTACGAATCCTCCAGATTTGCCCTCCGTCTTTCGCTGCTGTTCATCGTCACTACCGATTCGCGAGGAGAATCAAACGTTTATCGACTAAGTCTAGATGTAAATAATCGACGCTCTGGACAGAATTCGCATCGATCTTGCCGCGTACGAATCTGTCGAGCGTGTCGACCAAAGGCGATGCAAAAATCTTTGTTCTGTTGTATTACGTTCACTCATTACACTGCACACAAACACGTAGGCGTACTCATGCACACAAGGTGTACCATACTCCCGAGCCATTCATCTTCCACGTAGAAATTACGTACGCTTGGCTTTCTTCGGGATCGTTTGAAACGAGCGCAACAATAGCTCTGCGTCTTTTTTTATACTCGTTACACTCGAGCGTTCGAACGATGTACGAATGATGTATATAGACAAACAGATTTGATAGTAAATCCTTGGAAATTCGAAAGACTGGTCATTACGGTACTTCGACCTCGGCCCTGCCTGCCTCTCCCGCCTTTCCCAAGTTATTACACCTATACGACGCTACGTCGAAGCTGCAGGTGCGAACGACTGCAATCAGGTCAGTCGCTTCGATGCTATCTGCCTGCAGAACAAGCGCGTCGACCCGGGGGCTAATTAACTTGCATTCCTCGCGAGTTCACCCGGGGCAATCTCGAGATGTTTAGAACGCGCAGCGTTTCGCATTCGTTCGGCTTCTGCATAGTTAGTCGGCAGAAGTCAATCAAATTCCAAGTGCATACTCGCGGAGAATGAGTTCCCGGAGAGTCTGGGAACATCGGTGTGTTAAAAACCATTTATGCTAATTCTAATCTCTGGTCCGTCTAAAAACGCCGTCGTTCAGACTCCGAAAGTTTCTCGGACGTCGTACGAAGAGACTCTTTTGAGAGCGACTGTTTAAGCACAGCAGGCAGGGAGGGCTCGTTAAGAATTTATCGCAAGTCCGCGTCAATCGTCGTTTTAATAGCGACTTTAAAACTACCGTATTTCCCTGAACTCATTTCCGTCGGCAATCGTTTCCCTTAATTGTAAGTTCCCGTCGAAAATGACCGAATGCAGAATTGCACTTTTAGAAACGTTCCAGCGAATGCAAAGAACATCGGCCCAAGCGTTAATCCCGAGGCTGTGATGATACGTCCCATTAAGAAATCTCATCTTCGACCTAGCTCGTTTATTTCCTGAAGTCATACCGTCTCATTAAAGATTTTCATAGAACTCAACTGTATTTACTTTATTACTAGTAGACTAAGGATTTTCGTGCAAAATAAAAGATCTGTGGTGTCGGCGTAAAAAGTTTCTTTTACCATTCGGGCACTGATGAGACGTGCGAAACACGGCTTTTCATATTCCGAACAGTTTTACATATTTATTATTTTTGCACACATTCGATCTCGTCGACGCGTCTCACCTCAATTTGGCTTTGAAAGTGAGAAATTAATCTACGGAGACGAGGGATGGACCAGGGGTCGGTCTCGATGCTGCTCGAGGCTAAACAACGTTCAAGGGGATGAATCCACTTTAGATAACGGCATGATTCATCGTCGTATTTAAGGAGTGCAAATGATCTTATTACTCCGACGAAAAAATCGAGTTCCCCGCCAGTCGGTGAAGACTATTTTTCTCGAGTCTTTCTCTACTCCGTATTAAATCGAGGACAAGGGGACGTGTCGTGGTTCGTGCTTGGAATTCCGAGTTCCCGAGAGTGACGACACTGGCGGCGATTCGCCCGCTACCGGTGCACCGATACGTCGAACATTTCCGAGCCGCATCTGCAGCTATCGGATCTCTAATACGAACTTTCACTTGGAAGTGCAGCATCTGTTCCGCGAAAAGTTACGCGCAAACTTCGGCCACGAACCAATCGTCCAATTTCAATCGCACGTCTACGTGCCCGAAGTTTTTCCACTACGACAGAATGAAACGTGAAACTGTGCGTAATTTTCTAAGCTTTGACGTTCGTCTCGTGTTTCCCACGCTTATGGAAACAACTCGGATTTCTTTGAGATTGAATGTTAATGCGCGCATTAAAGAATCTCATCGCGGCGCCAGCGTTAAAACCTATCTCTCGCGACGCGGTAAAGAGTGCGACGCGTTTCTGTTACACAAGACGGCGGATAAATGTAATTCCAGTTCCCCTTGGGAAATCCAAGACTGCGACGAGGCACGCGTGGAAATTGGAGCAGCCAACGGCGTAGCCACTCTCCTCGCGTCCATTTACTTCCGCCTATTCTACTCTCGCGTAAAATGGAATCATTAAAACGTTACCGCGGTGGTCCATCAAGTGGCACGGCTACGACTTGCCATCCGCCCCGGGATAATTATATCCGTGCTCACTCGTCAGGATTTCTTTAACGTTGCCAGGGATTCTGGGAGTGGATCAAGAGGTGAGGACGATCGCTCGGTGAAGGCAAGGTCCCTGACAGCCCTCCCTCAAGCCAGGCCACAGGACGGTCTTTATTCTGATTCCGTTCGGGTTCGGGGAGGCGTGGTGCCTGAGGTGGATGTCCCGTCTGAACTCGAGGGCCTGCGCCACGTCGAGGACCAACGGCGTGGCACGCGCCAGACAGGCCCAGGCCAAACTGGAGCAGGCATCGGCGTACCTCCTCACCTCGGCGCATCCTCGCAGACACGGAAAGTCGTACAGCGTTCTCTCCAGCTGGCTGACCACCTGTTCCGCGACCTCCTGAGAACCGGTTCGCGCGCCGGAAGTCGCCAACTGCCGCTTCACGCATTCCTCCAGCTCCGGTGTCGTCTGCACCGTGCTCGACGCGGTACCGTTCAGAATCCTCACCGCCTCCAGATACCTCGACGTCTGGACCATCCCTGCTAGGCGCCACGACAGCTGAAATCGACAGAACCGATCTCATCGTTTCCGGCGTCGATGCATAAATAATGATTTACTTAACGTAACGCACGATAATTATTCAAGCGGGACGGCAGTTTAGGAATTGGGAGCAGGATTTTCATTTTTTATTCGAGCCAAGCTGAGTTATATCTGGGATCAGCGTCGATAATCCTGCGATTTATTCAAGGCGCAAAATTAATTCCGCTCCGACGCTCGCCGCTACTTTACGGACTTTACGTCGTTACGAGGAAAACTCGCCGAAACTTCATAGATCTGCCGCGTGGGAAAACTCGGCGGCCATCGTTCGGGAAAAATGAATTCTTCTTTCAAAGGGAACGCGGTTGTTCCAATTAGAAGGAAACCCTCGACGAGCTTATCTCTCAATTATCGCGGTAGTACAGAATTAATCAGAAACGATTTTCTTTTTACGCAACATCCCGGATGTATGCGGTCACTTCGTTATTACGGATGCAAATTGCATCGCCGCTGCTCCGTGGCATTAAAATATTACAAATTCTTCGTTGCACAAAAAGCTCTCCCAAGCTGCTATCGCTTCGTAATTTATGCCGATCCAAATAATTTCCAAATCTGCGATGTTAATTCCGGACCGTGTGCTAAAGTAAGCGAGGATAAAACCGAGTTAAATTTAACGGGTCAATCGGAAAACGAGAAACGCTTTTTACACGGTTCGTTCGCGTAGTCCATTCGGCGTTTAGTAAATTAAATTTGTCAGTCGTTCATACGTGGATGGATGGGGAATGAAAAACTCGTCACGACGCGACGACGATGTCCAACTTTGATGCCGGACGGAGGAGCCCGGAGTATCGGAAATTGCTGTGGAACTAACTACCTAAGTAAAGCACTAAGCTCGGACCGGTGACAATTCCGGACGGGTCGAATATCGTAACTCCACCAATTAATTCTGTCCGCTCTTGGACAGATTTCCGACTCTTGTAAACTATCCTGACAATTATGCGCGAAACGGTGAGACGCTTAGTTACAGGTATCTCGCGAAGATCGTAGCGGGATACGCGTTGAACCTCGCATGAGAAACGAGAACAATGGCCCACGATCTACGCACGCACGACACGCAACGATGGAACGTAACGAGTCGCGATCTGGCTGCGGTCGATTATTAAGTCACCGCGTTAATTACCAGAGACAGAGAAACGAGGCGAGTCACTTACCGATCATTCCTCTGCCTAACCGTTACCACGTGGTCCCGTTACGTGCATTACGACTCGCGAGTCGAAAAGTTCACGCACGTACGGCCCGCGAGTTTCATGGTTTATCTCCTCTTTTCCCGTGACGTCGTCTTTTTGCCGGCGCGTACAAAGCGTGCCTCGTTATTCCTCCTCGGTCGCGGTCGACCGATCGCGGAACAACCCGCGGGCGCCGTGAAACGGCAAATTGTTACAAAGTGCTCAAGGTATCAACCCTCTTCTTTAGTCGGCATTCAATTAAACCGCGTCCCTGTCGGGCACCGTTTAAAATATCAGATCTTGTAACAACGAATCGCATTTTGTTAAAATGCGTCGAGGTTCTACGAAATCCTGCATAAAAACTTTTTAACATTAATATGAATCCTATACATCTTTAAATGATTCACATACGAGACCTTCTAATGAAACACAATCTGTTACATGATTAATTACATGACTTAAGAACAACGATGCAACGTTACAGTGATACGACGCACGATACAGGCGGATACACTTCAGATAAAGAGATAGATATACGCGTTGTGGCGGGTTTCGTCGCAGGTATTTATTTTAGCTCATCGATTTCTCGGGTAACGGTGTGCGGAGAGGTAACTTGTATGTATGCAAAGTAATCGCCACAGGCTGACGGACTAGCCGCCTCTGCCACTTGCCGGGTACACTCGATCGCAAAAGTGCACCCTCTCCCTCCTCCCGGTCACTTCGTCGGCGACGGCTTTGACGTTAATGGTCGATCGATCGGACGGGAGACAGGTGCGTGGTAGAGTGCCGGCAAAAATAATCTTCGCCCCTATACCTGTGTGCATTGCCGCGCTCACCCTTTTCGACTGCGCTCCGAATTCCTCGATTCCGCTCTTCAAATCCGTCAGGAATCTATATATACTCGACACGACGGTCATAAGCAGTCTATTTTCAATTAGCGCACGAGTCGTACCAAACGGGGTAACAATGATTATACCAAAATGCAACGATCGTTGTACGAAACTCGTTGCATCGAACATTGTATAATCGTATGAAACATGTTTTACTGTTTACACGTTTCGAGAAGCGAGTGTAACGAGTTTCTCTCGACTCGAATGCGAAGCGAACCGAACCAGAAGAGTTCTCGAAGCGACAAAGGGAAATGTTCGGGAAACCCTGCCGGCAATTTTCGCCGAGCACCGGGTAAAGGGAACAATTAAAACGGCACTTGGACAGGCGTCGTTGGATGAAATTGATAGAAAAATGAACGGGACAAATTGCGCTGGCCTGGACCGCGTCAAGCGAACTACACAATTCCAGGGAAATCAGGTTTATCGCACGGAAGCTCCCGTCGCGTTTCGCTTTCCAATCCGAGCAAAACGACCCCCTTTGTTCGCGGTACCGGGGGGTAGGAAGAATTCATTATTCTTTCGCGTGTACCTTTTCGACTTACGGATACAGAGCAACAAACGGAATTAACGAGCGAACGAATGTACAGGCTGAATCAATTTCCACGGTCGTACGAAACGGCTAATTACATTTTTTTAGATCATTAATGGACGTTCAACTCTTACGAATCTTACGTTTGCCAGAGCTCTTAAAACTGATATTTTATGCAATAACTCGTGTTTAATCAATTGCTGTATTCGAGAATCGTCTTAAATTTTAACGTGTGCTACCCGTCGAGGAGCAGGGGACGAGATCGAGTCAGAGGAGCTCGATAAGTAACGGGGCACAGTTCATTTTTCTTGAACCGTAGTCAACCTCGAGGGAACGAGATTTCCGACGATAAAACGTCACTTACGAAGGAACAACGCTGGTAGGTTTTTCCAGGCGACACGTGGAGAGGAAAGAGAAAAAAAGGCGAACGCCGAGAGAAATTCAATAATTCGGACAGTCGACATGGAGCCGGGGCAGCGTTGCTATAGCGGGTTCTAGAGTGAATTATTGTCGCGGGTAGCTTGTAAAAAAGTCTATTGAAAAAAGGAATGAAAACGTTTGCTCGCGAACTTCGGCGAGATCGTAAAATAATCGTGATAAACATCAGCGTGTATACGAAATTGATTAGCGTCGTGAATTGCGGTAACAGCGAGTCATAAGGTCGACGCAACTTTACCCAACAAACTTCCCGCATAGAGTTTATGGCCGCACGTTTCCTACAATACGCTCTCAGGAATAATATCCACGAGTGTATTAAATATTAAATGGCTCTCGATAATTTCAGCCTGCTACTCTATCGCAATCGTTAATCGCGGAATCGCTTTAGTTGTTCACGGCTGAACGGGAAACGTGTTCAGGATTTTCACCCCCTGCGCGGTAGATTAACTTTCGCCATAAATCTGCCGAAGGTTAAATCTCTTTGTAAAGATTCCCACGTTCGATGGACCGAATCCGTTTTAAAACACGAGGACAAATTCACTTAACGATCTCTGTTGTAAACTCGTAAACGACGCGTCTTGATGAAATCATTGACTGAAATTGGACGAAGGGAAGAGGAGAGCTCGTCAGAGTTAGGACTCGTGTAAGGCGTTAATTCGCGCGGGTCTAAACAGAGAGAGGAGCGTTAACGAGTGGTACTTAAGCACTGTGACTGGTCGGTCTCTTTGACGGACGCCGGGATGCAAACGCATTAAAAGGTGGCGATGATTATTCCTCCTATTTTGCATAAAGTGCCACTTACCACGACCACTGAATAGAGGATCCTGGCTTTCAGGTCGGCCGCATCCTTCAGGGGTTCCATGGCGTCCAGAGCGTCCAAAGTATGCAAATGCGCCTGGCCGTAGAGAGCCGCGTACCTTTCGGCCAGTCGTCCCGCGGTTACGTCGGACGTTGAATTTAAGAAACTACCTTCCGTTATATTCGGACCGCCGCCGTTTCTCACCACCGGCTCCGGCGTCGGGCTGCAGCTCTCGTCCGTGTGGTACCCGGCGCTGCTGCTGGACTCCTCCTCGTAGTCGAGATTCTCTCCCGGCTCGAACGCCTGAAAATATTAGGTTGGGGAATAAGTTCATAGTGTTTTTATAATTTCTTTAATTTTACAACGATTTGTTTGCTGTTTGGCAACGGGTAAGTATTCATTCGATAGAACTCTTTCTGCTCTACAAAACTATGTTAATTGTATTTTTGAGTTATTTAATTTTTTATTAGTTTTGAGGCTTAGAAATGGAATACCCAGGAGGCAAAAATCAACATTTTCGACACCTGCTCTTCTTTGTTTTTCATCGAGGTCAAAAAGCTGCCGAAGCAGCCCGGGACATTTGCGACGTGTATGGAGAAGGTGTCATAGGCGAGTCTACAGCACGGAAATGGTTTGCAAAGTTAAAAAATGGCGACTTTAACGTCGAGGACTCGTCCCGCAGCGGAAGGCCTTCTGAATTCGATGAAGAACGTCTCAAATCACTTTTGAAGGAGAACGGTCGCCAAACCAGTCGTGAATTGGCGGAAAAAATGAACTGCGATCATAAAACGATTCTATAATTGATTAACTTATTGATATAATTATTGTTTTTTGTTTAAATAAAAGTCTTCGGTAAAAACGCTACGAACTTATTCCCCAACCCAATAGTTCACGTCTTTCCTTCAGACTCCCGCCCCGGGCTAAACTATCTGCAAGATTTCATCCTCTGTTCTTTCTCCGCCGATATTCAATCTGTACGAGTCGTCGATAATTCTTGCACCAGGGGGTCGTTCGGACACAGGGGAATATCCCCTCTTCCATATTTTAAACTTATCTGCTCGTTCTCGAATCGGCTGAACCCAAACGTTACGTGAGCGGCTTACCGGAACGAGAAAACCGAGAAGAAAATGTTTATAGAAAACGACTTTCGAGGATCGAACGTGAAATCGGGGACGCGTAGTTAACGTCTTCCTCGAACGACGATTTACGACGAGAAAGATCGCGACTCGTCCTCGTCGATCATCTCTCTAAATTTCGGTTTCGAATCCGGCCGGTGGAACAACGGTCGTAAAGCTGATTTTCATCGGATTAATTACGGCGAACTCGTTAACGGGTGTCTTTAATTAGCCGCGTCCATCGAAAAGAGAAATCTACCAAATTATTTTACGGATACCGCGCGCACAAATAATAATTAGTTGTACCTGGTCGTGATATTTGATCATTAACGCCGACCCACATGCCGAACAAAATGCATTCGAATTGTTTATTCAGATTCGATACGGTGCGTTCGCCGATTCCGAGTCTCTGGCCATTCATCGCGTTCCGTGCGGCGATCCACAGAAATTTGGTTACCTAAATTTCCGAATAGCTTTAAACCTATCTACGAATAATTCTCATTCCGTTCGGACTCGATGTCAATTTCGTCCGCCAAGGAATATCATTTCATTGCACGTTTCACTGCGTTTCACTGTACAAATTAATTCGTTTCTCGTTTATTTACGATTATGGATTTGTTTGCACAATTTAATCGGTCCGTACATTTATTTGCACATCCGACTGACTCGAACGAGAGATGGGAGAAAAAATGTTTAATCGACGCGAGATGAGTCTGCGTTCTCAGAGATCGAAAGGCAACGTCGGTCGGACTCGGGTAATTTAAGAGCGCTCAGGGGTCCTTGAGGGACGTCACGTGGCCAAAGGACTTTGCGAGTGCTATCTTCGTTCGAATAGCTGAGCCACCGATTCTCAGGGGAATGTGCAGCAGAGTTTTTCGCGAAACTAATTTATTCCACGAAACGGCCGATCTTTCATTAAGCACGCCAGAGACGACTAAACGACCACGAACGTTCTCAGCTACGTTTTTCACCGTTCAATCGAAGCAGTGAGACAAGTAAGTCGAGAACTTAAATGTGTCCCTTGGTTTGAGTTAAGCTTGTAGAAAAACTTTGGAGCGCAGAGAGGGTTTGTCTGTCACTGAACTGGATATTTCATGCATTTACGAAAGAAAAGATATGCAGAGAATAGAACTGCATAACGTGATTCATAAAAGTGTCCAAAGTGCAAATAGTGCAGATTTCAATTTTCAAATATATTTCGTCCTCCGACTTTATTCCGTACCTGTACGTTGTCCTGGGTCATCAATTGCAACGCGAGCTCGCAGCCCCTGGAGAATTGAAGGAGTCTGGCAGCCAGGGGTGGATTTTTCGCGTTCCCAGCGATGCTGGATCTTCTTAAGGCCGTCCATTGTCTGAGAGCCTCCTTGTCCTGTTCGACCCTGCGTTTCAGCTCGGATAACAAAGTTTCTAAGCTGCTCGGGTCGCCGGCTTTCTCCAGGGTGTTCAGCAGGCTTTGGTTATCGATCAGCCGCTGCTGGATCTCGCTGTATTTCAGCGAAAGTTGCCTCTGGTGTGAAGCGGCCTGTACGCCTTGATCCGCTGAACGGTGCAGACGTATCACCAATTTACTTTTCTCTTCGGATGAGACGCGCGTGAAATTTATTTTATTAGAGAAATCTATGATTTCACTCGCGCGTACACAGCGGGAGAACCTATTAGCTCCGACCCCGGCAAATTGGCGACGCAAATTAATCGGCGAGTCCAATAAATTACAGCCTCGCCAATTATTCGGCAATTAACTCCGGCGCGAATCGATAAAAACTATTGATAAGAGATACCTCGCGTCCCGACGTTACATTTGATAAGACGAACGAATATATTTTTCTTCTCCAGCATTGACAAATACGTTTCAATGAATATTTCATTATTCCGAATGGTGGTTCTTATCGTCTCAGCCTGTACACTCCGTGACGAATTACCTCTATTTATCGCGAAACTACGCGTTCATTTCGTACAATTTTTCTCGCGCGTTTCGGCGGAACGATCGTCGTCCCTTTACGAAGATCGAAAACGTGTCGCGCGTCGACGACGGAGACTCGCACGCGCCGTGTTTTACCGTGTTCGACACGAGCCACGGTCCACGAGCGCCGACAGCCGCATCGATGTAAGCGCATTAACGTCCGTCGCATCTATTTGCGTATTTACGCTCGGAAATGTAATGCGTCCGTTGCAGCTGCATTAAAATCTGGTACCTCGTGGTCGAACCCCGGTTCAGGCTTGTTCACGAAATTTGATTCAAATAAATATTCTTTAATTCAATAATTAATCTTTCGGATTAAAATATCTAATCCCATGCGATTATTAAACATCAATTAATTCGCGTTCCGATATCAGTTCTTCGCCATTAGTGTTCTAATTGTCGTTATGTTCATCGATTCGAAATTATTATTATTATTAAGAGCACCGGGACAATGGTCTCGCACTGAGTTTATGTTTAAATCGACAGGCTCTGTCTGAACGACAGCCTGAAATCGCGGGTCGTTTGATCGACCAATTTATTTCCGCCGACTCCCTTCCTTCGAACCACCCTACTAGAAATTGAATCGTTTCGTCTGCTCATCTTCCCGATTCCCACAATCGTCGAAAGTGGACCACCTACAGACTTTCAGACTTTCTCCCCGCTGTGCGCGAAAAAATCTGTACACCTTCGTTCATAACTCTCAAGACACGGTGAACGGGACGTTCTCCGACGAGCATCAATGAATAGATGAGAGTTTGTGATACTTTGATGAATCAAATATTTACTCAATGATTTCTCTCGGTCGAAATCACTTTTAGTCTTGGATATTTGTCAGATACGCGTCGACGTCTTAAGACTTATGAACGGACTCGCGATATTTGGATTCCTCGTTCAAAGGGAAGATGATACCTTTGTGAGCTCTGGCATGCTTCCCGAAGCTCTCTATCTTGTGCACGGCCAGTTTGTACGCTTCGATCCTGTTCTCGAGCTGCTCCTTCAAGGCGACCGGCAAAGGGGCCAAGTTCGACGCACCGCCGTTGTCCGAATTCTGACAAGACGCCACCAGACCGTGTTTGCCCAGTCCCTCTACGGCCCTCTCCAGGGCTCGTTTCCTCGCCAGAAGAGTAGCCTTTGCGTTCGGTGCCAACCTGTTCAGCGATACCAGCAGCTTGCACCAGATTCTCAGACGGAAGTGGTCCTGGCTGGTCGAGATCAGGTGGACGATCCTCCACAGCAACTGTTCCACCCTCAGTATCTTCGCATCGTTCACGTGCAATTCGAGGAGTCGCGAGTACAGAGCCTCCAGCAATGAGAGGCTGTGAGGGAGCGTCTCGATCAACAGGTCCACTGGAATGTCCGGCAGAGTCGCCTTCAAGGTGTACCGAGGCAGCTTCATCAGAAACGCGGCCGCCTCGCGATATTGTCTTCCTTCGTACAATCTCAGCAGCCTGATACCAAACACGTTTTCATTTTCACACCTTGTCATCGACCAGAGAGAGAATTTAATACTTAACACTAGATCTGCCAAGAGGTGTCGAAATGATTTGTTTGCCATTTCTTATAATCATTATTCATTCTCAATACATTTTGTTTTCTAGAATTTCGTATGACTTTATCTAAAATATGCAAACAACTAATTCTGTGAAACAGTTCATTTTGACCCCTCTGGTAGAAGTTCTAGCATCAAAACAGTTATTTGTTTAATGTGATCAAGTAACATCAAATGGAAGACGTACAAAGTTGCAAAATTCTGCAAGTGCAACTGAACGCATGAAACGATTGTTCTTCTACTTTTGTTCATTAAACGTCGTATTACTGCGTGAATCGAGAACTCTTTGTCAAGGGAAAGTATTATTATATTGTAAACGTATTCCCGGGGTAGTAAGCTGTTCTGGGTGGAATCTCATTGAAATTTCAGCGAACGTCTTGCCTGTAATCGATGGCCGTGTTTCACTGTTGGCTACACGCACACTCTCTGTGTTCGTGTCCTATGTATCGCGACGCGTACCGCAGGGACGCAACCAACCTGTTCCGTTTGTCTAACCGATCAATATGACCGTAATCGTGGCGGGCTCTGTCACACGCATAATCCGTTTTAGGCTCTAAACCATTGTTTCCCATTCCCATTCACCGCCCCCGACCTCCTCTTGAAAAAGATCGGTCGACAGGCTCGTTTCACTTTCTACATGTTATAACAACTGCTCATAAACCGCGTGACCGTACGCAGTTTAATAATGAATTATGCGCAGAAATTAACGGTAATCGAGTCACCGCACATGAATTTATACGTTTAACCGTTGACCCGTGTCACGCGCGCTAATTATTATTTACTACGTTCGTCGTACAAGATCGTAATCATTCGACGGATTTTGTGTTAGAAAAAATATGAAATCGCGAGGATTAAAATATGAAAAGATCGATCAGCTTTCGAAAGACTGCCCGACGGAGGGTCAAACCGATAGCTCCTAATGGTGGATTTAGCGTGATCGAAGTGTACCTTCTCAAAGCCATCCGCGGATTCGAGCCCTCGTCCTCGAGCAACCCGATCTGGCCGACTTGAAATTGAGAACCGGGAGCCCAGACGAGTCTCTGGATGGGATTCCTCGGTCGTTCCGGTCTTATCCTCTCGCACGAGTTCAACCCAGCCGGAACCGTCCTTCTACTCATCTCGATCTCTTCGTCTTGTTCCTCTTCAATGTATCTGTCTGTCTTTTCTTTCCTTTCGATTCTGAATCGACTTCCTTCAATTCATTCGACCTTCCCCTTTAACCTTTCCGTCCCCTCGCGACGTCTCGCATGCTCGAATTCGACGTTTGATCGCCGACCCGAAATGATCTTTTTCTTATCTCTGATCCTTGGTCAGACGCGTAGGTCCGGTCAAAGCGATTTCATTCAAAAGAAGAACGAATGAGTCATCCTTGCGAGGCGATCGTTACTTTCTTCTTCGATCCTCGGCGTCAGCACGCTCTCCTCTAACGGCCGCCGTATCAAACTCTGGCCTATAGCCTCGGGGTCGACCGGCCCACTTCGAGACCTGCGTACCCAATCACCACTTCGTTCACCGAAACTTCGAACCACTTTTACGATCGAATGAAAAGAGAATTAATCGATCACCAATCGGATCTGTTTTCTAATTATAACGTTTACCGCATTTAGCGATTACTCGGTGGATTTAATGTAACGCGACGTTGAATTCGATCGTTTGTCGGATACAATTTGCCATGGAATTGCAGCCATCTGTGCGTGTAACGTTGTATACCTCTCTGTAACAATCGGACGGTCGACGTAACGATTCTTGACGGTGATCCGAGCACAATTATTATCCTCGCGACGAACGCGAGCACCCAACTTTCAGGTCAATCAATTCCAAACACTGTTGAATCTACCGTTTCAATCACAGTTCCCTGGCGATTATTAAAAAAAAAGAAGAGCACGAATTTCGGCCGCGACTTCGGCTGATCCGACATGTCCGCGAGAAGCGCGAACAACGAAATCCTTGGCCGTCTCCTCGAAGGATACACGCGGCCCCTCTGAGCTCCGCTCGATGGAGGTGGAACGGGACACAGAGGGAATCGCGCGGATGGCTCTCACGAGCGAGATACATAATTCCAATCCTCTCCTCTCTTTTTCCTCTCCCACCGTGCAGAATCGTACTCGGTTTCACCGAAGGAACACACGCTCGAGCCTTCGTTACCAGGTAATCACGTTAGAAATTCAACAGAACCGCATTAGAGAAATGCAAGCGTTAAACGAGAAACAACTGTTTCGTAGAAACGAATATTGCAGGGGTTGATTAATTTCGAGAGGATAATCATCAGTGACTTTGATCTACCGCAACCACCGGCTGATTCGAGAAATATTAAATGGTTCGAAGGAGAAACGAGAAAAAAGAAACTCTCTCAAGGGTTGATTGTTAACTCGGAGAGAGCGAGTTAAGAGCGCACAGCGGAAAATCGTATTGACAATAAAAGGAAAAGCGGAGGCGGAAGAACGACAAAGCTGCGAGGGGAAAGAAAATAATGGATGGTGACGGTGGAGAAACGAGGCTAACGTAATCAGGAAACGGCGTAGCAGGACTCGACGGGAAAAGTGTTCGGGAGAAGATAAACTAACGTGGAGACAGGCGACGCGCGAGAATGAAGGAAACGCTAGGAAAAAAAAGTCTCTCGGGAACGCAATTACGGAATAAGCATTACTTTACGTTTTTCCTCGGGAAACGCGGACCCGCTACGGAATAGCTAAATTCTTTGAGACTAAAGAAACAAGAAACATCCGGGTACAAGTGGTTCGTTCATTGAAACGCATCGATAGACTCCACTTTGTATATTTATAGAAGAATTGAATAAAGTCTCGATCTCACAGTCGCGTTTCTCATATTGTCTCCACGAGTGGTTTGTCCGTGAAAGACGAATAGACCGCGATTTATGGAGAGATTCAATATAACGAAAGAAGTTTCTCTCGAGATCGCGTCTCTTATATCGTTGCAGGAACGCATGAAATTGGTAACCATTACACGGTCGCGAATTAGAGAAACGACGTAAGTACACAGGCAGAGACAGTGATCTCGGCGTCGAGAGTTTTCATTTCGCATGCACGATTTACCGACGTTGAACGGAAGAGAGGAAAAAGGCGGAGACCGGAGGCAGGAGGGAAAAAACGAAGAGCAAGAGGAACCGGAGACGTCGACCTACTGTCCTGCATACCTGGCGGCCTGCCACGAGAGAACGTTTGGACACGATACACGTGGTCGAAACCCAGAAACTTCCTTTCGGCGTCGCGTGTGCCGTGCAAACTCGCTTCCCCCGGACTCCTCCAGCTTCCGGCGCGCACCTCTGCGAACACTCTCTACCACCTTCCTATCCGCCACTTACTCTCGTTGCCTTCTTGATTTTATCGAAAACACCGTGGAAAATTTATTTAATAATCGAACGTTCCAACGTGTCGTTAATATTCCGGGCTACTAACGTTGACCGTCTGAAATTCAACCGAGTGTTTAACGATACATGCAAATGATCTATTAATTAATGATGACCCGGTTCGCCTGTTATTACCTAATTAACAATAGATTACGCGTTGAAACGTTTATCGTTCTGTCGATGGGATCGCGACCGATGAAAGACGAGTAGTTTTACGAGGCTCGGTAACGTTCAATTGTCACGCGTTCTCGCCGCTCAAGCGTTAATTGAACAGACGTGATTTGACATTAATTAACGGTTAGATCTTGGCGAGATTCCTAAGGATTCCAGATGGATTTGGCAGATGGGAATTAATTTTCTCATTAGCGACGACGATGCAAGACGGAGCCGAGGAAACGAGTTCGGGGATCGATACGAGGATCATGAATAACGTAATTGGATGCGTTCAATTTTCCAGCGAAAAGAATATCATTGCCACCGGCGTATGTACGTGGCCAATTAACGAGGCGCGGTTTAATCTACGATATTAACTCTCCCATTTGTACGGGATCGAAAAACTTTCGCGGTTCACGCTCCACAATTTTCGTTCCACTCGCAGCGCGTGCAGAATGCTATATTAAAATGTACAAATAGTGTTCGCAAATTTTCATTCAATCTCGCACGCCCGATGTTTTGTCGATCGACGCGCGCGCGCACAGCCTCGGAACGTTCTCGTTTCTATTTAAAAGTAATTGCATGAACGCTTAATTCGATCATGGACGTGAATCTAAGGGCTCGAATGGACAAATTCAAAGTAGGACTGTAAGTACAGTTTCATTGAAAGTGTTCATGATTCAGTGGACTCGATCGAAATAATGTTTAAAATGTACTCAGGTCTTCGCGCGAAGCGTGCATAGGCAATTTCGGATCTGCGGGGAAAGAGAGGAAACCGAGGTGCCCCAGAAACGAATTACAACGGTGGAAACTAAAGTATTCAAACGCGAAAAAGTAGTTTTCAACCTGGTAAGATTGCTACGCGGAGAGTTAAAAATTTCATTCTCGCTGCTTTACAACCGTGAGCCACCGAGCGTTAAACTTTGCTTTCGCCAGATTATTCGTTCAAATCTAGTTTATTTAAGGATAAAATACAGTTCCCGACGAAAGGGTCACGGAGAAATCAACGCTCATTTTCCATGTACACAGACGAACGATAAAGATAAATGTGTAAAGATAAATTTTTAATCAGTCATCGGAAAAATCCACGATATCTTGTTCGATTATTGCACATATGTATAATTTTTTTACTGATTCAGCATAATCTCTCAATTAGAAATTATTAATCTGGAACATCTGTTAGACTGTTTGCTGGACGATAAGCACTTGCAAATGTTTTAACGACGCTATCAACGCTCGTTTATAATAATACGCGACAGTGATACAGCTGGTAACAACGAAATTGAACCAGCTACGTGCATGTGTTTGTCTCCCATAGGAAGACAAAATTCAAAATGAGTAATAAGTCAAAATCTTATTTTTTCGATGCTCGATCTCGCATTGATATTGTTGGATTTTAACATAATTTTGACGCGTCAAAATAAATATAATGTTAACGTACGCACATTACCACCACCTACATAAAAATTTTTTTTATTTTGACGCGTCAAAATTATAATAAAATCCAACAGTATCGATGTCAGATCAAACATCGAAAAAATAAGATGTATACTTATTACTCGTTTTGAATTTTGACCCCCTAGGGGAAACTAACACATGCACGTAGCTGGCTCAATTTCGTTGTTACTAGCTGTACAAGTAGATGCGTTAACGAGGGAACGTAAGTATTACGAATGGGAAGAAAGGGGCCATCGATCGCGAAGTTGGGTCAAGCTTTCTTCCTTTGCCAAAAGTTGAAACAGCGAAGAAACTGGGAGGGCTCCTGGGAAGATACACGTCGGACTCTGGCAAACTCTATTTTGCGTGGAAACTGAATTCCGATAACTTTGTTCCATCGACAGCGGATGAAAGAAAGCCGCGCGAGTAATTTGTCAGCCTCGTCCGATGAAAGGACGTCCTGTTTCACGAATGTACGCGCACGGTACACGTGCCCGGACGCGGTGCATACGTCCGTGCCATAACTCGGCCGTGAAACGTCGCAAAATTAAACCGTCCGATAAACGAGAATGGAATATCGCGACGCATTGTGAACGTGCACACGCGATTGTCTTCCTTTTGGCGAATGTATCAGCGCGTGTCGGACGAGATAGCTAACGGGATTTCGATAACTTTATCAGAGCACTCTGATTTTCACGCGTTTGTCCAACGATTTAAACAATATCCTATTTGATCTCTCGTGTTCTTACGCTTATCCAATGTTATTTCGTTTAACAATGACTGAACGGGCAACGAGAATTATCACTTCTATTTTTTCAATAAATCGAGCGACATTAAATTCATCCAATTTTGCTCAGGTACCAGGGCGAGAAACTTCAACCACAACTAAAACCATGTCGTTCCCCAAATTACCGAAGATATTATATATTACCTTCATTGATCACTGATACCCATGAGACAGAGTCTATTGGAATCAGTCTTAATTTTTAATTTCGGTAGACACGAGAGAAGAGCCCATATAGTGAAACATCTACTGGTATATTTCGCCTGTGTCTGTACCAAGTGTATCCAACCAGCTTCAGATAACTCGCTTCGCTACTTTTCACATCGGCTCTTCTCATTGGAAAATAGGAAAGTTCGCGCGGAATGATTGATTGCGGGAGCCATTATACGCGTGACACAAAATCGAGTGAGATAATAATAAAGCAGAGAAAAAAGAATCGACTAACGAGGACGCTTATTTTCCATTGCTCGCATTAATTACTCTCCTCGTTTAACCCCTCTCTGCCCGGCATAAATTGACACAAAAATATTTACATCTAAGGTAAAGGAGGTACTACCTGGACACTTTTGAACATAAATTTTTTATAATGTTTTTTTACTACGAAATTTAAGCATAGTACATGAAAACTTATCATCTTAGCAGATAGCTGGGATCTCATAGTCATATTTAAGAAAAAAAAACCTTCTTTTGTAATATATGTATTAAAATAATCGCATTAAAAAAAAATTGCTGTCAACCGCAGTAGTAGGACACATTTAATCTGAACGAGTGGTGTAGTAGGACAAGTATGGAATCAGAACTGGGACAATATTATTATGACGCCTCTAAGCGAATTGAGAAACAGTTGGATTAAGAGAAAGGGTTGAAAAGTTATGAAAATACACTAAATCATTTATTGTGAAAAATATATCATACGTTTGAATGGGTTTTATAGCAGATCGGAATTTATCCAGGTATTGCAGCGCGATTAATTAGTGAGGGGCTAAACCTGGACAGCCACTGCCGTCTTGTCCCACTTGTACGTATTAAGTTTCAAAAGGGATTGTAAACTTGGACAGTAAATTATTAAATACATATCTATTATGTCCAAGTACTGGTTCCAAAATTCGTTTTGTCCCAGTAC